CTCTGAGATGCCCCCCTCTCAGGGTGGCGCAGAGCTCCCCACCCCTTCCGTGGGCCGCACCCAATGACTTGCTTCCCAAAAGTGCCCTGTGGACAGGGCGTGGGGTACCTGACGCGCAGCGCCTCAGCCAGGTGAGGAAGCCCCACTGCAGTGACCGGCACGGGGCTGGCATGTGCACTGGGTGTAAGGGAAGGAGCAGACCACTGAGCTTCAGAGGCCCCCCCGCTGTGAACCCGAAACCCCAGTCCAACCACAAGAAGACCATCAAACCCAAAGAGAAAGGCGTTCCGCAGAATACCTGGCAAACACTTCTCAAAACCGCCAAGCTCATCAAAAAAAAAGGAAGGTTGGGAAATTGGAAGAGCCCAGAGGCACCTAAGACGACCAGCTCAGTGCATGTGGGGTCCTGGGTGGAATCCTGGACCAGCAAAAGGGCATTAGGGGAAAGTTAGGAAATCCAGATCAATCATGGTGTTTACTTAATAATAAGATATCAGTACTGGTCCATTAGTTATGAGAAAGGTACCCTACTAGTGTAAAATATTAACATTTCCCAGGGGAAACTGGGTCCAGGTATATGGGAACTCCTTGTGTGGTTTTTTTTTCTTTGAGACAGGGTTTGGCTCTGTTGCTCAGGGTGGAGTGCAGTGGCGCAATCGCAGCTCACGGTAACCTCCGACCCCTGGGCTCCAGCGATCCTCCCACCTCAGCCTCTGTACTATCTTTGCAAATTTTTATGTAACTATTAACTGTTGTAAAATTAAAACTTTACTGAATATATGCATAAAATAAGGAACCCCCTGACTTCAGTGGGGAGAGCAGACTGAGAGGGACAAGAGTGAAGTCTCAGAGACTCGTGGGGGCCCCACAGTGGTGCAGGTGGGCGCTGTGAGCAGTGGAGATGGAGAAAGATGAGTCGATTTCAGTGTCAGGACATGCTTATAGCTGGCGAGGAGGTGAGGGAACGGGAGGAAGCCTGAATGATGTGTGGATGGAACCAGTGGATTTTTTCCAATAGATTTCTCTTTTTGGGGAAAGATAGATGAAGGGCACATTTGAAGTGTGTGGCCAAGGGTTCTTTTTTGGCTGGAATATCACTGAGCCCCCTGGGATGTTACTGAGATCACTGGTCCTCATGGAAATGCCATTCCAGGGACAGGTGAGCGTGAAGACCCAGGTGAGGGAAGTGCTGGCATGTAAGTGGATTTAAAGCATGGGGTGGGACCAGATCATCTGGGGAAGGAGGTAGTGATGGAGAAGAAAGAGGGCCTGGCCCAGAGCACTGGGACCTCCAACATCCAGAGACCTCACAAGGAGGGGCCACAGCGAGCCCACAGAGACCAGCCAGGGAGGGAGCAGCACACCTGGAGGACGAGGTGACCAAGACACCAGAGTCAAGTGTTTCCAGAAGCAAGGGTTTGTCGTTTGTGTCCAGCTGTGGGCACTGAAGGCAAGAACAGAGAAGTGACCGAGGGTTTTGCCATCACAGAGGTTGCTGATGGCCCAAATCTCCGTGGAGTGTGGGTCTGACTGGGGAGGTGGAGGGAGACAGGCAGTGGAGGCAGGAGACAGCTCTTTCCAGAACCTTTGCTGGGGAAGGGGAGCAGAGACATGGGCTGGCGCTGGAGAGAACCCGGGACAAGGCAGGTCCTTTACAGGTGAGGAGACGCCTGCACCCTGCTGTGGTGATGGAGTGATTCTGTGCAGAGGGAAGAAAACTGCAAAATTCCGCACAAGTTGGAGCAGGGAGCTGGAGTGAGGGAGGTGGAGAGGGCAGGGGGATGCAGAGGACAAGGCTGGAGCCTCTTCAGAGCGGGGACCCTTCCTGATGAAGGTGAGGGATAGTGTCCCCACGTTCACAGTGAGGGCTGAACCTGAGCTCTGGGGGGCTGTAGTGGGGGGGGCACTTACTCTCCAGGTTGTCACAGGATTAAAGGAGGGTGCTTGGCACAGAGTGATGCCCAGTGAGGGTGGTCATGACCGTCAGTCTCACCCAGCAGCGCCTGCTCATTAGATATTTGGTGTCTCTAATGAGCGGGGAAGCTTGGACGGGGCGGTTGGAGTTTGTGCCTGAGGCTCCACTGGGGCAGAAGGGGATCTGGCTGGTGCCCTCCACGCGGAGCTTGACCTCAACTCTGTCCTGCGCCCGGGGCCTGTGCGCTGGACACGGAGGACTGACACGGGGGC